AAAAAAAAAAAAAAAGATATACTGATACGTGAAAGGAATTTCTTTATAAATTTGGGAGTGTGCTGATGAATTTTTTTTTTAATCACAGTAGGTAAATGGTAAGAATGACCAACTTTGTCTAAAATTTTTCATCAGCAAGAAAACTATATTCTGTAGTGTTGGCTAAACAAAGTCACTTTGAAGAACATAGCAGTGGAAAGAGGAAAATTGCTTAAACATTCCCTATTTAAGTAATTGTTTTAAACTATATGTGGGGCGGCACCCACAGCTCAGTGGGTAGGGCACTGGCCATGTACACCGAGGCTGGCAGGTTTGAACCCAGCCTGGGCCAGCTAAAACAACAGTGACAACTGCAACAAAAAAAAATAGCCAGGCATTGTAGCAGGTGCCTGTAGTTCCAGCTACTTGGGAGACTGATGCAAGAGAATCCCTTCAGCCTAAGAGTTTGAGGTTGCTGTGAGTTGTGACACCACAGTACTCTACCCAGGACAATAGCTTGAGACTCTGTCTCAAAAGAAAATAAATAAACTATATGTGGACCAAGGAATGTGAAAAAATGCACACATATAAATGGCCCCAGCAGTCAAGAGAAATTGTGTATTAAACTCCAAAATCCTTTTAAGTGATTTGATTTTTCCATTTATTTAATTGACAATTTAAGAAACTTTAAGGAAGAAATAACCTAATTTTACTGATAAACATTTATTGGTAAATGTTTGGTGAGGTCTGCCAATCATAAGTGGCCTCCAAGCCAGGTGCCATGGCTCACACCTGTAATCCTAGCATTCTGGGGCTGAGGAGGGTGGATTGCCTGAGCTCACGGGTTCGAGACCAGCCTGAGCAAGAATGGCGTCTCACTCTTGCTCACCCCTAAAAATAGCCCGGCATTGTGGTGGGCACCTGTAGTCTCAACTACTCAGGAGGCTGAGGCAAGAGAATCACTTGAGCCCAAGAGTTTGAGGTTGCTCTGAGCTATGACACTGTGGAACTCGTCCACAGCACTCTATCAAGGGTGACAAAGTGAGATTCTGTCTCACAAAAAAAAAAAAGAGAAAGAGAGAAAGGAGGAAGTTCCTCTAGGAATCTTCCATTTCAGTGGGTCTGCAAGACCCTCATGCCCACTCACAGTTAAGGCCTAGAAATACCTTCACAGTAATAGTAGTCACACACACTACCTAGCACAATGCTAATGACAAAGAAGTCAGTAATACTTGATTTTTCATTTGATCCTATAGTTAAATGCTAAGGGATGGCAAAATAAATAACTAGTTCCTGGTGAGATGAGTTAGGGGGCTTTTTGAAGTAAGCCAGGTTTGGCAGTGAGGAGGTACTGTAGGTAGCTGAGTAAATATGGAACAGTTAGTTTTTAGCTAAGTATAAAAGGTAGTTCTATAGAGAACGGCAGTCTATTTTTGCCCTGCGCTGCCAGGTGACCTGACATGTCATCTCCTTTCAACTTAGGCAAGTCTCCTGGCTTGTGAAGGCCTAGCAGGTGTGAGTTTGGTTCCCACTGCAGCCAGCAAGAAGATGATGCTGAGCCAGATTGCCAGCAAGCAGGCTGAAAATGGAGAGCGGGCAGGTAGCCCTGATGTGCTGAGGTGCTCAAGTCAGGTACAGCACTTGAGTCCATTTTGGCACTGGGGGTCGGGTGGCCCAAGGTCTCTGCTAGGTGACACCAAAATCTTGATTCCTTATACTTCCATTTAGGGAACTGGGAGAATGAATGAATGTTGTTAATCGGAAAGCTAAGGAAGATAATTTCTGTACCTACTCCTCTTTCAGACCAGGGTACTTGGAAGGAAATAGATGGATATTTTGGCTAAGTCTTTGGGACAGGTGGTTTACTCTCATTTGTAATCTGTCCAGAAGCAGCATTTGGTCTCATCATGTGTTCTGAGATGGACTATGAGTTTAGATTTGATTTGTCTTCAAAGGGTCACCGAAAGGACAGTGATAAGTCCCGGAGCCGCAAAGATGATGACAGCTTGGCTGAGACCTCTCATTCAAAAAAGACTGTTAAAAAGGCAGGTAATGGGGTAATCCCCCAAACGGATACAGTTTAGTAATAGGGTAATCTTCTTCCTTCCCACTGTCACTCAACCTGAAGCCTTCCCTAGCTACTTTGGCTTCTCAAAGCCAGTGAGAGTATCCCCTGATTTCACCTAGAGACTACTGTAGTAGTGATCTCTACCCTTGCTGCAACATCTGTGGTACAGTTTGGGGAACATGAGCTCTTATGATGAGGGGTAGGCAGATTCCAGCTTAGGTCATACTTACGAATGTTGGGTTTGACAAGGTGGATAGCTTTTCTACTCCACCTCCTTCCCCACAAGGTCTCTTAACTCCAAGGAATATGAGAGATGACAGTACTTTTAGACAGCATCAGAAAAGTTCCTTTGTCTACCAGCTGCAAGTGGGCCCAGAGTAAAATTGTCTCTCCAGAAAGAGGGCATAGGGATGGCCTCATTAAATGCCTTACTGTTGTCCCCAGGTGGTGGTAGTGGAACAAAATGGTTCTTTTCAAGTAAAGATTCCCAAAAATTTTGTTTGTGAGCACTGCTTTGGCGCCTTTAGGAGCAGTTACCACCTAAAGAGGCACATCCTTATTCACACTGGTAAGTCTCTAGCTTGTATTCAAAGGGGGAGAATAGTCTGTGGCTTACATTCTGTGTGTATATGTGTGTGTGGCTCTAGTTGGGCTATTTTAAAGGGAGAAGTACTAGAAATGGAGGAAGAAGGGCAGTGCCTATGGCTCAGTGAGTAGGGCGCCAGCCCCATATACTGAGGGTGGTGGGTTCAAACCTGGCCCCGGCCAAACCTCAACAAAAAAATAGCCGGGCATTGTGGCGGGCACCTGTATTCCCAGCTACTCAGGAGGCTGAGGCAAGAGAATCACCTAAGCCCAAGAGCTGGAGGTTTGCTTTGAGCAGTGTGACGCTGCCATGGCACTCTACCGAGGGTGAGAAAGTAAGACT